CCCCAAAACCCCAAAACCCCAAAACCCCAAAACCCCTTTTCGAAAAATGGTTGTTGAAATTAATTTAGAAAAATATGGAAGAGAAATCGTTGGCAGAGCAAGAAGGTAGCTATTATAAAGAAGGTAAGAGCTAATATTTGAGAGGTTTCAAGAGGGAAAAGACTTAATATTTTATTAAGCTGGACCCATTGTTTCTCATAATGCACAACTTCTTGATGTGATATAATTAAATAGACCAAAAGCAGAACTCAGAAGAAGTAATATTTTACCTAATGATGTACTTTGATTCGGATCCTTGATGAAGCCAATCGAAGTGCTATGAAGTTCTGGCTGAAGATATTGACCCTAATGTTTATGGCTCAGATGGATTCACACCATTACACCTTGCTATAAAATTTAAGCAAATTAATGCAATTAATTTCTGAATTAAGGTTAACAAAGTTGCTCTGAAAGAGGGAAGACCAGAAGTGTTTGATTTCAGGCTTCGGTCAAAATAGCGGCCACACTTGATTCCATCTTGCTTGCATTTATGGTTTCGGAAAATTTATTGACTTATTAATTCAAGATCGTTATCTTACCTCGAAGTTGAGCTTTAAAGACCGAGACAAAGAAGGCAAGAGGCCCAGTCAATACGTTCCCTTCAATTCACAGTATTTTAAATAAATGTAAAAGGATCGAAAAACTTTCTATTCTGAGATTTCAGAAATAAGCGTTGTGGAGTAAAATCAAAATTGATCTCTCCGACTGTAAAAATAAGTGATGACAACTCTGAGTGTGAGCTAGAAGAAAATATTTTTGGGGGCTCAGAAGACAGCCTTCCACAAATCGCAGCTGAGAGGGTGCTAAATAGCATGAATATCTCAGGAACTGGATGGAGACAAGGCCATAAGCCAAAGATAGAATCTCTGACATGTATTTCTTTACCCCAAACAGTCAATCAGACTGACATTCCTTGTTTTGATTACTTGATCCAGAATTAAAAAACGTAAGCTTTTAGAAAATATTCTAGACAATTTCAAGCAATGTAATGATTTTGAAGAGAACTATGATTCAGAATTTGTTAACTGTAAAGTATTCATTCAAGAATTTCGGAAGAACAAGCCTATGAGGGAAGAAATCCTTGCTGACAATATCAGCAGAGCAACATTGACTTCAGGTGCTCTTAAGATCAGCATAGATAAATCTCCTCAAATGTTCTCTCTAAATAAAGTTATTGACACTCCTTCAAGAGAGGACTGAGCCCCTGATACCAGAATTGAGGAAGGTCTGAACTTTGGCCTGGTCCTGAATGACATCCAGAACCAAGAGAATATTAGCCAGGAAAGTACAATTGAAGAGCAATTTTGAAATCCTTCTTTTTCAACTGGACTAATCCGCAGAATGTCTGCTAAGAAATCCTCTCTGAATATCTCCTGAGCAGGGATTGATTATGCAGATTTTGCCTCTAAACACCAGACAGCTAGAAATCTGAGACCGAAAATTTTTAATTTTAAGAAAATTAAAAGGAATTTCAGGGTAAAAAGGACTGAGCAGCCAAAAAGAGATGTGACTTATGAACAATTTGAGAAAGAAATGGACACTCTTGATGAGAATGAGGCCATAGCTGAGATGCAGCCTTGAGTGCAAAAGTATATCAGCAACAACAGCAGGAGTAAGGGATAGAAGCTTATTTTTAGGTTCAGCTAATCTCGCCTCAAAAGTTATGAGATTTGACACTGATAAGAATACAGTTGATCTAAGGAGCCAAGCCCGGTATAACATGTTCTTAAAAGGCCAGGATATTGGTAGCAAATGGATTCAAAGATCGTTTACGAACGGAAATAATATCAGGAACTTACTTTCCTCTGGGACAAAAGACTATCGGTATCAATCCCTGGTGCAGCAAAGAGGTGTGGCCAAACCTCTTTATGTGAAATACAGACAATTCTTTGAGTCTATTGACTCTCTGAACCAAATTTTAACTCATATTGACTTGAGCATTATGGAGACAAAGGGAAACTTAAATATTTCAATAGTTGATATGGTCAGTCTTTTGCGAAGAAGACAAGATTTGCCTAAACTCCCAAAAACTGTGGTTGAATACATTAAGACACAGATTAAATTCAGAAGGTATCGCCTAGATAGGAATACTTCAGGGTATGCTTTCCGGCCAACAAACTTGATTTTTGAATACCTAATGAGAGAACTTAAGTTATCAGCAGTAGAGTGAACTCTTAGGACTCCATCAAGTTTCAAGATGTCAAGCTCAGCAAACCTAATCGGACCGAAGTCAATCTCCTTTGGTTGTCATAAAGTTGACCCTCGTTTATAATTTTCAACAAAGTTCATAAAAATGGGGTTTTGGGGTTTTGGGGTTTTGGGGTTTTGGGG